CGCATCAAATGATGATCGATATTTGAGGTGCCTCAGTTGTCAACTGAGGCGATTCGACATCTGAGGCACAACATATATATATATATTATGTATATATGTTATATAACTTTTCACTTTCTTTGTACATCGAGTTTTTGTAATTTATTTATATAGAAATGGCGCTATTCGATTTCGATTATTAAGCTTTGGAAAATAGAAGTATAAGCTAGTTATAAATTCTAAAAAGTGGAACTATTTTATTACTTAGAAAGAAAATATAAATTCAGAATTTATTATCAAATGAAAACTTATAACTTATAATTAGTAATATGAATAAATCATAAACACTAAACTGAAATACTATCTCAACTCCTTAAAAAAATATTTCATTGAAACTAATTCAAGTTTAAACTAACAAACATTTCTTTCTAATATAGAAACGGCTAATTTAATTTTTTTATTTACAAACAAAGATTCGAATATTCTATTTTTCATTTGGAAGTAACTGTTTATTTAATTCAAAAATTAAAGTTAATTAATGTATTATTATATGAACTCAAAATTTCAAGTATCAATCTTATTTTTTAAGTTGTTTATATCTCATAATTATTACAGTACATCAGATAAATAATTATATTCAATAATTTCAAATTCAGCTTCTCAATATAAGTTCTATTGAGTTATGATTATATAATGGAATAAATTAAATTTATAAAATAATATAACAAAAATAAAGGAGCAAAATGACTTAAAATCGTACACTATAAGAAAGGATTGAAAAAGTGGTCGAGAAAGAGTAATGAAATGGTCATTTTAGCCTCTCTACGGATATACTTTCCAGTTATGTTCATGACCATGCCAATACCAACATATATCCTCATCATTATTGAAAGGACCTTCCTGGTCAAAGTCCTTAAATTCATTAAGTGAGAAAGCAAGCCAATATTGTTTTATATCATTAGGGATTTTCAAATGATAACCATCGTGAGACTTTGCAGCTTGTACATTTATCCAGCTCCTTTTTCCTTCATCATTGAATACGAAGGCTCCCGTCCAAGTATAAATATTTAATTCTATCTTGTTTTGTATCCATACCCAATAGCCTGTATATTTATTTTTTTTCATTCAGCCGATACATAAATAAGTTATTAAACGAATATTATTAAAATTTCTTGTCATGATTATTTAAAAGTTTACCTTGAACTTGAACAAGATGGACTAGTAAACCAAAGATGACTGCAAAAATATCGAAGATTTCATGACGAATATTTTCTTTAATTGTAGTTGATTAAGTAGTATTTGAAAATGTTATGATATGAATTCTTGCTTAATTATTGAAAATTTTGTTATTAAGATTCTGCTTAAAACAATTCGTGGTAAAAAAAAAATTCATTCGAATAATTTAATTTATAAATGGATATTTGAATAGAAAGGGGGCAAACATCCGGAAAAATAAAAAATGGGTTAATGTCAAATTTGAACATATTTCGGCCCAAAAATCATATTTGATTGCAAAGGCCCCCCATATGATCTAGTGAATGTCATCATATGCATTTTCGGGGTATATTTGTAAATTTGATTCAAATTTCCAATTTAAAATAAATGTAATTCGTTTCTTTTAGCGAATAAATAATAAATGTTTGCAAGTACTAGAATTTTAGCCTTCTGCTTTAATAAATGTTTACAATGACTAAAAATTTTACTTTAGTAAAATTTAAGATTCCTTTTTTATAATATCATTAATAAATTATTTTCTACAGGTCATCTTATTTTTATTCATTTTATATTTTTGTTGTATTTCCCATTTCTAGTTTTGATATATATGATCCCAATAATATAGAAAGAATAATATGGGAGCGTTTCTAGTTAAAGTCAAATTACGGATCATATGATTTACTATGTTTCATGTCTTGATTTTAAATGCTATTGTTCAAACAAAATGAGAATTTTGCTGTATTCTATTAGATCAAATGCAATACTTCGGAGGGTGAATTTCATAGCAAAATTTCAAGTGTTTGTGTGTAACTATATTTCGCAAAATATTTTATATTGAATACTTTAACAAAATTTAGTATCGTCTTATTAATTGCTAATATGACCACATACCATAATTTTCTCGGTCTTTCTTTTTTTTTGTATATATTTCCTTAGAAAATTTCAAGTATATAATCTATTAATAGAAAATAGATAAGTATTTTGATATTTTTTTTTGGATTTAGATTTTCCGCAGTATTTCCGTAAGACTTCATTTCACAGACTTGAAAATACATAGCGTCATGTTTAGCCACTTGATAAAAATAAATTTTTTAATATCAATATAATATGATTACCATCCTTTGTCTATAAAAATGAACGTTATGAACTAGTCGTAACACTAATCCTAATTTAATTAAAGTTTTTAACCTGGAAAATTTACGTTTTAAATAATTATTTCCCTAGATCTTCATCAGTAATCTTAAGATTACATGATATCTCCCGATCCCTTACATTTCCTTGAATGAAATTTTTTCAAATGAAAAAAAAATTATAACGAGGTTAGTAAATCATATACTTTTAAAACACTAACTCTTTGTTTAAAGCAATTAATCTAATACAATTCATCATGTCTTCAAATAAGTTCTATTTGACGGACTGAACAACACATCGATTGATCGATATGAATAAGCATTAAATATTTTTTTTTTGCATAAAATGAAAGTCTCATTCATAATTTTGCCAAGTTTCATTTTTTGATATCATCTATGACTATTCCAACTGCTAAAAAGATTGTGATGGTAATCTCACTTATAATACTCATAGAATTTGTATGACTGTTTAGGAACTGGTTCAAATTTATCAAGCATCCCTACCATCAATATATTTATCTAAAAACTTTAACTTTAAAAATAAAAAATAAAGTAATATATTAATTTTTAGTATCATGTAATTTCCTATTAACTTAGCTGTATTAGAATAAAAAGTTGATAAATCATTTAATACTGTTAAATATATTATATTCGGTTTCAAAAATTTCTTTTACCTCTCCATAAAATAAATTCCTCATCAAAATCTAATAATATTATCATTTATTAAAAACTGTGAAATTTATTATGTAATAAAGGTACTATACCTAGTACAACCGAATCGAATATATAACACTTACTTTTCTCTTGCTTATGAATTTCAAATTTCAAAATGTATTTAAAATAATCGAATCGCTCATATCATACCAAGCTAAATTCATTCAATAATAATTATTGTATATTCAGTTTGCGTAGAGACATTAAGCGGACATAAACGTTCCAGATCTAGAGAAGACTTTATTTTATTACTTCATATTATTTTATGATAATGTATTAATTTAATCATTTATTAAAAAAAAAAATACTAAACTTATGCGGAATCATAATTGAAACTCACTCCTTGAAAATTGCCGAACTTATAGTTCATCTTTCTCTTAAAAATTATTATCGTAATTTCTAAAATCATTTGGGACCATTTAGTTTGCGGGATGGGAGAATTGACTATATATCATATGAACATGTTGGATTAATAGTGTTTAATATTCCAATAACATTAAATAATTGATAATGATAGTATCCTACCAAATCATCGGTTAATACACCACCAAAACTATAAATTTCCCCAAAAAAATATCAGAGCAGCTTGAAAGTCTAAACGTTGTATTGGTGCTTTTCTTTTTATTACAGGAAATTCCATTTCACTGATTTTAGATTAAATTCATATATCGCCTAAATAATCATAAAGAATTAATAAGATAAAGGGCTTAATTCTTCTGCGAATAGATTTTGCCTCCGAATTTCTGTGGAATTTTTTCATGAAAAATCAAAAGTTTATAAAGTAAAAATGATTTGATTTTGCAGCCAATCCATTTTCTAAATATCATCAAGACACAATCAATTTTTGTAATAAACATATTTGCATGTGATGTGAGCATTTATATTTATGTATATTTATAAAAAGAAAGTTGCTACTCACTGTTAAGATTCCTTTTAGCTTTATTTTAACGTTGGTAACTTTTGTTTTGAAATGTTGTTTCGATATTGCCTTTTCACCAAATATTTCATTATGTTTTATTATGTATATACTTAAAACCAAATTATTCTTTAAAATATTCGCATTTTTTGAAGATTTGCAACACTTTTTTATATATAATTAAATGGTCTTTAAGTTCTATTCATGATAAATAATTTGCTAAAATTATTGCATGAAATAAATTTTGAAGAAAATTTTCTTTGTAAATAAAACATTAATAATTATAATTGGTTAAGCAATAAACATGTGGTAGATAATCTGACACTGACATCCAGTAAATTGATATAATGGACTGGACCTGAACTGGAATAAACAGTCCATTGAACTAGAAAAATTATGTGACAGCATTATTAGTTACAATTAATGGATCTCATATGTAATATTATAAAAGAAATTTTTATCAATAACAACATCTGCAGGAAAACTATAAAATTAAGTTAATTTTCTTTATTAATATCAAATAAGTATATGGGAATGTCTTAATGAATGTTTTAAAATTTAAATTTTCAACTAATTTAAATACTGATAAATTAAACTAAATTAAATAATTTTTATTTTTCTTTTATTCCAAACAGATCTTTCGTGTTTGATGGACAAATTCATCAAATTATAATAAAGTATTATACTCATATGGGAGGTATTCATGTTCGAATCATATGATTTATATTTCTAGTAAGTAACCTGACAGTTATTTTTAAATTAATTATTGAAATTTAATAATTAACTTATTGTAATTTGGTTTTGTTTCTGATTTGGATTTTTAAAATTAGAAATAAACCTTTAGCAGATTTTGTTAGCAGCTTTTGTTACCAATCGTGTGAATCAAACTCAAGTTGCATTAGAAATTAGTGCAATCCTCTAATTTCATCCGAAATAATTGCAATATGTGATTATTATAATCTTAAGCCTCATGATAAACAAGCAAAGTTATTTTAGACAAATGGAACAAGCAGAAGAAGGAGTATTGGATTAGATAATTATTGGAAAGAAAAAAGTCTCACATTACCAGATTTATCAAAAATAACATTGATTTAGATTTTGTTACCAGTATCTGAAGTAGATGTAGAGCACAGTTTTTCTAATTACAAAATTATTTTGATTGGAAATTATTGAACCATATTGATGAATGCTGATTATGGTCAGATCATGATAGCAATAGAAATATAATAGACCCAATAAAATGGATTATTAGAGTTAGATTATAATACTAATCACAGAAAATCAAATAATTAGAATTAGTATTGATAACAATTTCATTAAAAAATAAATTACAATCAAATCAATAGATAGTTTAATAAATTAAATTTAATCAAAAATCTGATTGATACTAAACTTTTAATATTTGTAAATTTGTATATTCATTCATATTAAAGTTAATTTATCTTATAGTATAGAATAAGTTAAGTATTACATAAATCAGAATATAGATGATTGTACCTAATTTATCTAGTTATTTTAAATAGTTTGTCCAATTGTTCAATAAGGATAATTAGAAATGTTCCAGTTAAAGATGATTTATGTATACTTTCCAAATAAATATACAATTTAATAAAATTAATATTTTATTATATAAATAGCAAACTTTATTCCAGATTACAATGAAATATTATAATTTATGTATGAAAAAACTTTTGCTGAAAAATTATATAAAAAATAATCATATTTTTTAATGTTTATAATTATTATTCTCATTGGTCAGGTTTTCTAAGAAGTGCATTTGGTGATCACTCTATACAAGCATTTTGTATAGCCATTTTTAATGAATCTTTATAGTTATTAATGGTCAATTTTGGAGTCTGAAATGGCCTTGTTTGCTCTTTTTCATAAAAATTAATATAGTCATAAGCCCGAAGTCGCTTCTTTGGAACTTTAGATGACTCAGTAAATATACGATTAACATTATCGTGTAAAAATGTTCACAACTACAAATAAAAATTTAGAATTAGAAAATTAGCTAATATCAGAATCTTAATCACATAATATTTATAATATTCATCATTAATCTTATTGTAACTGAGTGTCATTTTAAGTCTTTTACTACAATCTTTTTTTTATTAGAAGTATCTTCATTAGTCTCTGAAATTTCAGAA